TTGGTGTTGTACATTTTATGGGTTTTAGCAGAAGTGTCATGGCATGTATCCACCACTGTAGTATCACACAGAGTATTTTCACTGCCCTAAATCCTCTAGCACTGTTTTTTAATCCTCCAAACAGCACTTGATGTAGGAGTTTTTATCCCCGTTTCACGGAGAAAGTCATGGAGGTTCAGAAACAGTACATGACCTGATCAAGCTTACCTTGCTCATGAGGACTGGAGCCTGCTTGAATGAAGACAGGTGGGTGCAGACTCTGGGCAGTGGGCCTGCCTCACTACTTCCTTGCTTTGGGAGGATTAGGCAGACTGGAGCTGAGTGGAAAGATTCCCTGAGAACCACACAGGAATACACTTTGCCCTGTGGTCACTGCAGGTGAAGTTATTGGAAGTTGGCTTGTATTTAAGCAGCTGCTATTCCTTTTACATGACAGTAAAACTAATGAACAAGAGGAAATTTCCAAGATAATAAAGTACATATCTATCCCTTGTTGTATATATATATTTTCCATTTATAGTCCCTTGTTCATCTGGAATTTCAATTAGGTACTATTTTTTCCCCCACATATTCCATCGTGTTTCGCTAACCCAAACTTTCTTGGCAATTTCCAAAACCACAAAATGACAATGATTTGCCGCTAAGTAGAGAATGTGCGGGGTCCTTACTGAGCATGCGTATGCGTCACCTTCTGTCTTGGGAGAGCTGTGTAGCCACTGGGGATCACATCAGAGAGGCTTTTAAAAAGAATTTAACAACAAAACAATATTGTAAATCACCCAGACACTTCTAAAACACATAATTAGGAATTTAGTGTGTATTTTTTTCTCCCTGAAAATTGAAGTATTTTATCTGCTCTACTTGTTTCTAAACCAAGTCTACTAAAATTGTTTCTGCTAAAGAAAATACAAAAAGGGAAGTTGGGAAATCTCTTCTGAGCACAACTGAGGTGCTAAATCCAGCATATGTTCCTGCGCTTGGGCTCAGAAGATGTTGACAGTCGTGTCTCCAAATGTTCATCTGTTTTCCTAGAACAGAGCAAATAGTAAGAAATAAATGCCATGTGTGGCGTCTGAAACACTGACCCGGAGCCTCCACTGCCTACATTTTCTAAGGATTTGGGATTCTTTTCAGGAATCAATTAAAAAATAATTCATAATTCAACTAAAAGACAATTTAGGGCTTCCAGGTATAGCTACTCCAGTTTTCAGCATTTTATTGCTGTTCTCAGTGTTTTTGAGATGACAGTTCTCCTTTCATAGAACAAGCTTAAAATTAGAAAAAATCAAACACCCATTAGAGGAAGCAGATTTACTCTCCTATTAATTGATACAGAGATGGAACGCTCCCATCACCCAGACGGGAGCCTAGCGCATCCCCTGCAGACATTTTCAGGGGCCAGAGCCTGGGTCAGCAGCAGCCCACTCGGCCCAAGCTGGAGCTGCCTGTCTTTAAGAGCGGAGGCTTGAATTTTCAGCGGTAGGGATGCGCTGCGCTGGGGGAGCCACTCTGCAACATCTGTACCGAAATCTCAGTGTGTGTGTTACTCTCTTCCCTCTTGCATTTATTTTTTTTTTAAAGTGAACAACCTTGAAAGTTGAACTTCCCACTTCATCCCGGCTTCTCTCTGCTCTGTTGGACAGGAGGTAAAGTAGCACGCCTGTTTAGTAACCAGAAAATGATTCTTAGAGGGAATGGAGACTGTGGCTGCCGTGTATTAAGTACGGAGAGAAGGCACGTTGGGGACCAACCACAGAATTGTCTCCTTCCAGAGGCTGGGAGCGACCCGGGTGGGGGTGGGGAGGGCCGGCAGTGTGAGAATCTGTTGAAATATGACCCGTGGTTTTAACTTTAAATAAGCATTTCCATCCTAATAGAAGCCCCCTCTAATATCTCCTGCAGCTTTGATTTTGGAACACGTCACATTCCTCATTAAAGCAATCACTGTTAAAACATAAAGCAACACAGGATTTATTTCTTCATTAAACTGATGATCCGTATATGAAGCCAATTAACATTATGAGTCTGGTGAACATCAAGTGTAAAGAGGTTAGAGAAAATTAAAAGCAGTCACCTTGGTCTTTAGATAAAGAAAGTACACTTTTAGGTTGTAAATTATTCGAGGGTCCAAGCGGGACAGATCGGTGAATTTGGTTAATTGGAAAATACGTTTTACAGCACAAGAATTAAGGAAAAATAACCCTTTCGTTACTAACGCCCGTTTTTAGCGGGGAGGGGGACGGTAGCGAATACATATTAGTCACCTCTCCCGCCCCGAGTGCCACCGGAGACAATCGGAGACAAGAAGGGGCCCGCGTCATCGAAGTTTGCTGTAGCCTTTCCTTTCTACCGTTGCTTGCTTGGTGGTTTATTCTTTGTTTTGCCAACAGGAACGAGCCCGGCCTCGGGGTTTCGGGAGAGGGATTTTGGGCCAGACGAGGCCCAGGATCCCGAGCGGGCTCCAAGCGTCGCGCGAGGTGGGTGTTTTGCGGGAGATCGGCTATGTGTCCCACAAGGGAGACAGCCAGGCTTGCGTCGGGGACGCTGGTAAGGCCAGGACCAGGCGGCGACCCGCCGCGGGACGTTTCCTGGCTGGAGCCGCGGGGCAGGAGATGCGCGTGGGGCTGTGGAGTCCAGAGATCGGGCCCTACTGCGAGCAATGAGTGCGCGTCCCAAGTAACTTTCTCAGGTTTGGGTCGGGAGAGGATTGGAGTAGGTTCCCTAACAACCGGATCCGGCGGGGCGCATCCAACCGCCGCGTGTCCGGCTGCCGCGCAGCGCGGGGCCTCAGAGGGGCCCCTGGGACTGGCCTCTTCTCCCTCCGAAGCGCGGGAGGAACCGGTGCCGCTGTCCAGGGTTCTGACCGGCCGGGAGGCTGGGGAAGCGCGGGGCCCGCAGACCCCGGACAAGCCTGTTCAGCACCCAGGACATCTCTGGGCCTCGATAGAAAGCTGAATCTGCTTCGGAGGAGGTCAGGGATGGGGAGCTGAGACTGGGGCTTGGAACTTTGGTTTCTGGGGCCAACGCAGCGCTGGGCGCCTGGTGCCGAGGGTTCCCGTACCGGATATCTTGCTCCCCTCCCTCCACAGGCACTCGGCTCCGGACGCGCAGGGCCCTCAGGCGGGAAGCTGCCGCCTAGGGCAGGTGGGAGTCTGAGGGGGCTTTTGGCAGACCGAGGCGTGGAAAGGGAGACTCGGGCTCTGGAAAAGAGAGTAGGGGTGCTCTGAGGGAGACAGGGAGAGAGACAGAGACCGTGCCGAGCTTCCCGGCTTGAGCTGAATTAGGCTCGGTTCTCATGGCTGCAGCCCTTTCTGGATGAAGTGGAAACGGCGTTCTCAGTTGCCCTACCTGCTACCGCACCCGCCTCCCAGACCTGCAGACGTGCTACCCGCTGGCGGGCCGCCTGGACTCGCAGAGTCAGAGGCCCTGGCGGAGCTGGCTCCGCGGGCTCTCTCAGCTCTGAACTGAGCCGGCGTTTCTAGCGGTTCCTCCGCGTTGCAGGGTCGACTTTCCGCGCGGGGGCCGGCTGAGCCCAGGAGGGGCCGCTAAAGTGCACCGGGCCTCAACCTGCCTCTTTCAGAGCGTTGCTGCATCCTCTTCCTGGCGGTTTTCGGAGGGATGTCCACAGGCGGGCCAGGGCCCCGGCACTCTGCCCGCCAGCTCGACGCGTCTCGTCCGGGGCAGCTGTCCACGTGTGGGCCCGCCAGATCTTTTGTTTCCAACTCACTAAGTCTTTAAGATCGAGGCTGGATCCCAGGCGATGCAGGGACCCGACCCACCGCCTCGCCAGAATTAGTTCGGGCTCCCGAACGCAGCATTAGAATGTTTATAAAATATTCAATTTGTGCAGTCTGTCCAAGAAGCCATCGTCCCAAAATAAAATCAGCAGTCTAGACGGAACACAGACACCAGAACTTATCAACAGTTGTCTGACTTGCATCTTCTGATGCATCTTGAGTGGGTCATAATACCAACTTTATTTTCAGTGGTGCATAAATTAATTACACGCATTTAATAACCAAAATATCATTATATTCCCCCTTTAATATCATAAAGGCTTTCCGCCAGGGAAGCACTTAATAGTGCAGGGGGCCGTAACGGGCTATTATCCTGGTGTAATGCTATTACAGAACCAATTATGCGCCATTAGACTTGCTTTTTTTTGCAGTTTATGTGATTTGATCCAATCCTGCGCCCCTGACTTGAAAATTTCAGCCCGGTACTTTAGAGTTTAATTTTCACCCAGGCAGAGGGAAGGGCGGTCTCTCTCCGCTGAGTGTCTGCCTCGAATGCATTTTAAAAGTAATTGCGAAGGGTCCCACCGCATATCATTTGCACGGAGAAGCGAACATAAATTCAGGGACCCCTTGCTGAGAACAAAATCAAACTTTCCTTTTGTACGGTCGCTTGGAAAGGGAAGCCGTGTGCAAAGAGTCCCCCCAAAACCCATCCGGCGGTGACAATTAGCAGCGCTTTGTCAATTTGCAGCCCGGTAGTCGCCAGGCCTCTGACAAGGGGAGCCCAAAGCCAAGCTCTCACCGAAAAAGGTTTGAGTCAGAGGGGACTCAGGGTGGGGGTGGGGTGGAGTGTTCAGAAATTAATGCTTTATGGCGGGTGGTGGTAGTGGTGGTTGATTCAATTTTCTTTTTAAAAGAAAAGAGGAAAAACATTCTTGATGTTTGCTGAGAAATGACGGATTTTTTTTTTTTACACCACGTGGGCCATTTGTAAGGCCCAATAGACCTATCCAAGTTACTCGCTGTAGACAGCGCTGGAAATAATCAGATTAAGGCCAATTATGCGTGAGATTATAAAGGCGAGTGCTGAGCGGCGGCGCGCGCTGTAGACAGACAGCAAGACATCTGGCTACTTCCCGAGTCACTTTTCTGGTCCTGCGGGCGCCAGCCGCGCGGAGCCCCGCCCGCTTCCAGTCGAGCGGGGCGAGCGGACCAGAGGCGGTCACGCTCCGGCCTTCCTCGCCCGCCGCCCGCCGAGGTACAAGCGGCTCCGGACCCACACACCGAGCCCTGCGCGCCCGGCCTTGGGGCTGGGCTGCCTTCCCGGCCCGGGCTGTCTTTCGCGGAGATCGCCTGGCGCGCTCGCCGGACTACTCGGCTGCGGTGGCCTGGGTGCAGGGCTTGCGGCGGGGACTCCTGAGAGCTGGGAACCAGACTGCGTGGGTTTGGTGTTGGGGCGGAGGTTGGGGGACGACTGTCAGGGTGGTAGACCCGAACCGAAGTGTTGTCCCACTGGGGCCCTGGTTTGCGATGGCGCTGCCACCTCCCACCCGGTCCCCAAAGTGAGCTGAAGGCTTTGGGAGGGGATCTTCCAGGAAGGGAGCGCCCGGGGCGCTCCAGGGCCGGTCCGGGGCCAAGGCTGAGGGAGACTTAGGCTCTGCCGCTGTTTGCTTTGCAGCCAGGCCAGATCTACGCACGCCTTGTGGGTCCCGCGGTTACCCTCCCGAGTCCTGGCTGCCCAGCCCATCCGGCCGTCGGAGATGTTTTATTTCCACTGTCCGCCACAGCTAGAGGGTGAGTAAGCGCCGTGCCCGGAGGTGACCCAAAAGGCCGGCGGCGGCGGCCAGAAAGGGCCAGATCAGCAGCGGAGTCTGACGGGTGGTTGGGTCCCTGCCCTGAGAGGGACGCAGCCGCCTGGCCGTGGGTAGGGGCGCCCTTGGCCCCCTCCCCACATCCCGCTCTGGCCTTCCTCCCTGTCGTCGCCACCTGCTTCCCACCTCCCTCCCCGCCTGGGCTGGGTGCCCCGGGCTATGAGCGCTGCAGGGACGGGGGTCCTCCCAGCACAGATGCTGGTGTCACGCCTCTAATCGGGGCTCCCCTGCCCAGGGGGCCGCATCAATCTTTCACGGCGTTTTGCAAACATCCCGATAAGCCAGTGTGGACTAGGGAGTTGGCCGGCATGGTCTTTGACTGGACATGAGCTTGGAAGGACCCATTGCCAGGCTGCTCTTACTCCTGGCCCAAGGCCGTCTTGCTCCAGGTCCTCAAGTTCTGTTCCAGGCCAATGTGGCCCTTAGGAGCCGGTGGCCCTGCCCACCACTGCCAGAAGTGCCCAGGTATGGCCCCTCCTCTGTGGCTCATTGGGTTTCTGACGCCAAATGCTAACCACTTCCCACTCCCAGGGGCAGCCTGTGGCCAGGGTTTGGGTCTTTGAGGGGCTCCACTTCTTAGACGAAATTTTGTTTCAGGATCCTTGGTATGGTCTCTGCACTGGATTGTTAGGTGGGGGTAGGTTGTTGAGAAGGGTACAGCTTGGATCTCTGGTCTTGGGGGATCCTGCAGGGTGGGCCCTCCACACAAGGAGGGCTGTACTATCCATCAGGCAAATGCCCTTTAACACACTCTGGCCCTTTAACAGCGCTTTCCTCAGACCAGTAGTCTCCGCCATGGGCTGTTAGGACTTACATAACTGGGAGCAATATCAGCACTTGGCTTTGGAAACCTACTCCTTTGATTTTTTTTGGTGGGGAGTGGTGGGAGAATTTTGGAGGCAAAGAAGTTGAGGGAGGCATGGGGCAGGGCAAAAGGTGGTGAGACACTGGGGAACCTGAGAAATCAGAGGATGCTCCTTCACCTTGCCCCTGTTACCTTGAGCAGCGCCTGGCCTCAGCTGGCCAATGCACACCAGGATTTCAGAAAGTTTGTTTTGTTTTCCCATGGAAGCTTTTAAGAGTTCAGTAAGATTTTCTAAAGGAGGCCAATGAGGACCAGTGTTTAAGCCCTGCCAGCTCGGTCAGCATTCCTAAGAAGGGAAGGCCAGACACTTGGCTCCATTTCACCTGCTTTTACCTCCAAGGACTCATGCAGATGGGCATCATGTAAAGGTCTGAGCAGTGCATCCCCTGACACTGTACCATAGGACTGAAGGGGGAGCATCTGCTCCTCTCTGAACCTCAGGCTGAGATCTGGGCATTTAGCAGTGTTGGGCTGCCTGGGTGACTGAAGGGGAAAGCTCTGTCTGCAGGGTGGGAGGCCGAAGTCGCTTGGGGAGAGCCCTGGCCAGCTTGTCATGGCCACAGCACACTGAGGTGCTTGCTGCTCTCGTCTCAGTTCACCTTTCCTTCCCACACCTGGAGCACATCCCACATCCCAATGCCGATTCTGATTGCTGTGACCAGAAGAAAAGGAGACGGGTCTTTAAGACCCTTTTTGTTCCTTCACAGACGTGTTTCGAAGCCAGTTTTTGCAAAAAGGGATGTTGTATTTTAGTTTAATGTCACTGGGGAGGAGGTGACCAGCTGCAGATGGAAAGGCTAAGGACAGACCCTTGGAATATGACATCTCATTATTGCCTATCAGCATTTTAATTTTTATTTTTTATTTAGAGAGGCACGCAAGAGAAAGCGAAGCATGGCTCATAATCTTGCTTCTCAGATAATTCTGCTAGTACTAAATTTAAAAAGTACTACATACACCTGCATTGGAAATTCAAATAGAACAGAACCCCTTGAAAAGTGAAATCTTCCTTCTCTACCTCTTTTTCTAAAGATACTCCATATTGCTGGTTTCCTGTGATTTCTACAGGAAAAACTTGCTTTTACCTGTGAATATTGTCATTTACGTATTTTTTTCTTGGTAAGTTATACCTTATTTGTGCTGAGATTATACAGCACATCGTTCAGAACTTTGCCTTTTTCACTTCATTATACACATTTTGGTGATGCTTCCATGTCAGTATAGGCAGAGCTACGGCTTCTTTTCAACAGCTGTGTTGTGTAGTATTCCATTATATGTTGTACAGAAAGTGTCTACGCTTGGGCACTTTGGTTGTTTCCAGTTTTTTTTTTTCTCTTACCATGTTACCAGGAACAATAGTCTCTCTCCATTTAGGCACACTTTCTAAGTATATTCATAGATTACAAAGCTGTGTGTGCACTTAAATTTTTGATGGATATTGTCCAATTACCCTCTAATAAGGCTGCACCAATTCACTCTCCTACAAATGGTGAGTAGTGTGCACAGTTCATTACACTCTAATCTGTACTGGATATAATTATGCATTTTTTTTGCAAAAATATTTTCTTTAACTGTTGCAAGGTTCAACATTGTTGTTGCAAGGTTCAACATTGTTGTTGCATTATCAACCATTTTATTTATTTATTTATTTATTTATTTATTTATTTATTTTAGTTTTTTCTTTTTGGAGGGGTGGGAGGTAATTAGGTTTATTTATTTATTTTTTTAATGGAGGTACTGGGAATTGAACCCAGGACCTTGTGCATGCTAAGCATGTGCTCTACCACTGAGCTATACCCTCCCCCCATTCTATTTATTTTTAAGTAAAAAGCCTGTTCTCATAGTTTCCTTTTTTCTGTTAGGTTGTCCATCTTTGTTCTTCTTAATGTGATGAACTGTCAGCCTTTTTCAGGATTCAGCTTGACATGCAGTGTTTCGTTTAAAGATATTATATGCACACTTTGTGAAATAATTGGGACAGGCAGGTATACGTCTGTGAGGCTGGTTGTGATTGGAGAGCCTCAGAGATTGCATCTCATCCTCACCCGTCAAGAACTTTGTTTCAAAAGGAGACAATTTGTCCATAAAAATGGAAATAAGACTGCTTTGAAAAAAAAATACTGAGACTGTTTCTTTGAAGTTTCCAGTGGGCTGGAGAGAAATATTTGTAACTAGGGTTTTGAGGAAGAAAGCAGTTTGAACAGGACGACAGAAGGAGAAGGCTTCCCCAGAGAGTGGAGGTCTTGTGGCAAAGGATGTGGCACTGGAAATAGATAGGAGGAACTCCCTGTAGTAGACAGAATTTTAAAAAGCCCAAAAGACCTTGCTTCTTTGGACCGAGGTCCTTCTGAGAAACGATGGCTGGGCAGTGTGACTTGGTGGCTCCTAATGCCTAACACGCAGTGATTCTGCTACCAGAGCCCATGGCAGGTACAGCCTTCACTGGCTAATGGGAGCTTGCTCATTTGTTTTCCTAAGAAGCCATTGTGGACTGTCAAGTAAATGGCGCATATTTGGAAAATGATCTGAATGTACGTTTGGGGCCAGAATCTGTTCTGGCTTAATAGAAGCTTTGGAGGTGGCAAGGGAGGACTGTGGAAAAGAAATCTTTCTTTTCAAGGAGCAGAGGGTCTTTTATAAGCCTGGCCAGAGGGTGGGATGCCCTTTGAGAGCGGTCCTTTTTAAGTCTGCTTGGAATTCAGGAAAGTTGCTATTGGTGCAGATTTTTTGTTAATTGACATCTCTATAACAGATCCACTATGGTGCTGATGAGCTGTGACCGATGGTAATTAATATTCATTTCTAAACCTCTTACCTCCTCGTGTCCTGAAGTTCTAGGAGAAAAGCGTTGTGGAAAACTCTTGGTGATTTCTTTCCTCCCTCCTCCCTAGCCTTGAATCCTTGTTGTTTATAGAAACAAGGGAAAATAAAATAACAGGTGAGAAAAAAGGAAACCTAGAGGCTTCTGCTGAAGGATCAGAGGTAGGAGGGATGAGAGGAAGATGCTTGGGACAAAGGTGTAGCTGGGAGCTGGAGGGCCAGTGAAGACTCCATCTCAAGTCAGTGACCCTTTCTGGCTCAGAGTCCAGAATTCCACGTGAAGTGGACGTGGCTGTGTTGGGGAGTAAGGTCACCACTCACCCTATGAAATAGGCATAGTAGGGCTTAAAGTCAAAGGTTACTGGGAGAGAGAGATCACAAAAGAGTGGAAAAGAGGGAGACTTAATTGCAGGAGCAGAGAAGGATGCTTTGGGACAGACAGGGCTCTGTCTAGAGGGGACAGGTCGCTGCCTCCAAGTAGGAGTGCACGGCAGGGGGTCAGTGTGAGGACTGGGGGGCCCTCTACTCAGGCTGATCCAGTTTGCTCCCAGCAGGCACCGCTCCCTTTGGTAACCACTCTACGGGAGATTTCGACGATGGGTTTCTACGGAGAAAACAGCGCCGGAACCGGACCACGTTCACTCTCCAGCAGGTAATGATGCCCCCCTTCTGAGAGTCAGCTATCTCCTGCCTTCAAAAAAAAAAAATCAGAGTTTGAGCAGCTCTTCTTTGTCTTTCAGAATAAGGCTAACTGATTGTGTTAACTGGATCTTTCTGTTTTCTTGAATTTATGTGTCAAGGAATCTGGGCAGGGGGCAGAGGACTTTGACCTCAATCCCAGATAGTAAGTGAAGAGACAATGATGACGGCTCTGGTCTGCCTTAGGTTGAGTCTGGGGACAGTCAGACATTCTTATCCAATAGATAGATGAAAAAACTGGGGCCCAAGAGGTTGACTGCTTTGTAGAAGGTATCACTGCCCATAAACGGAAGGGCTACCACTGGAGCCTTGATATTGTATTTCCAGGATCCGAGCTCCTTCCCTTAAATCTTTCTCCCAGAGCGCCCTGGAGCAGAGACCTTAGGCGGTTTCTGTGGGCACAACACAATGAGGGCTTCTGCAAGTGATTGCTCTTCTCCTATACTCGATGGTGGAAGCTGCGTGGATTGCGCCAATTCATAAGGCCAGTCTTAGATTTTGAGTCCTCTGGATCCATTTAAATGGAACTTGCATACAAATATTTGTGCCTCTCTTATTTCTACCTCTTGGGGTAGCACTGAGGTTGCTAGGAAAGCTTAGCTCCTAAGTCATCCGCGGTTGCAATTTTAATTCTGTGGGATTTTTTTTTCAAAAAGCCCTTTTCTACCTCTTCTTCCCCTGTTTGATCTGGGGAACTACTTCCTCGCCACTTATAGCAAATTGGAAATATGCATCTGCTTCCTCTCACCTAGCCACAACCTCTCACCAGTAAGGATTTTTTCCTTTTACCAGCTGGAAGCTCTCGAGGCAGTTTTTGCCCAAACACACTACCCCGATGTCTTCACCAGAGAAGAGCTAGCCATGAAAATAAACCTCACAGAAGCCAGAGTGCAGGTAAACCTTCTTTTTAATTATTTAACTCTCGAATATTAAAACTGGCAAACTTTTTTTTTTCCCTGACATCATGACTGCAGAGTGCACATTTGGCCAAAGAAAGCAAATGAAGACGATCTGTCATTTTCATGATGCACTTTAATAACATCAACATAATGTGGAATATTAGATTAGGTTGATTAATCGGTCATTCATAATTAACTAGTGATAATGTTCTACACTAATTTGTCCGCGTCTCTAAGGTACTAAATTACATCAATGCACATCCATTTCCTTGCTTTGGAAAAAAAAAAAAGAAGCTGAGATGCTATTCTCAAAGCCGCTCTGACCGCTCTGGGGTAAGGCTGGTCAATTGCAGAGAACTGTGTTTTCATATGGGAACAGGGTAGGATCTGCTTTCCAGAAATTGCATCATGTCCAACTTTTCCCCAGCACGCGGACTCTTTCAGTGAAGTGGATCCGAAGACCATGGGCAATTGAAAAATCTTTAAGCGGCAGCAGCGAAAGGGCTGCCTTGGAGACGAGCGTGGCCCACGGTGACTGTCTCTAAGCAGGATTTCTTTTTTAGAAGCTACATGGTGATTATGTTTAAGTGCACAAACCCGCCGAGCCCAGCAGATGTGCCCGGACGTGGCAGGAACAGATTCGCAGCGCCGCCTCTCCGGGGCGAGCCATTCTTTGAGCACAATTATATATTCATTTTATTTATGGGGTTTCCTCCATGCTGTTTCTGTTCTTTTTTTTATGTAGGGGCTTGGGGTTAAGTCTATGCAAAGATCTAATTGTAGGAAATATAATAGTTTGCTTTTGGTTCCCCTGGGTCATGTTAGTATCTCTTAAAAACCAATGGCTGAAGAGAGATAATGGAATTCTGAGCAGTAAATTGGGGGTTGTAAACAAATTATTTCCCCTATAATCAGATTATGTGATCCTGATTATTAAATCTGAACATGAATCATTGGTCATATGCGGGCAAATTAAACTGATTATTATTTGGAAATGAAAATCTCCTTTGGCCAGCATGTCGTTTATCCTTTCTTTTTTTAATGCCAGCTTGCCAATAGCTGCCTAAAGACTGAACTGCAAATTGAGATAAATGACACAATTATTGAGCATTCAGAAGTGGAAGATCATAACTTCTCCCTGAAAGGTGCAAGGGTGAGATAGGGGTGGTGACAATTAAAGTTGGGGCTATTGTTGGCTATTCTACAAACAGACAATGGCTCTGAAGCATTTGTTTAGTGAGCCTGTGTGTGGGGACATGGCTCCGGTGGCGGGAAGGGAGATGTGTTTACATTTAGACCCCTTGCTCATTCAAATATGATTAATGTTCTCTAAAGCAGGGTCTTAATCGAAGCTGATGTTGTCAAACAATAACTAAATAGGGAAATAAACGACTCCATCATGCTCTTTCCTCAGAAGCAGGTGAACTGTCAGTGCAAAGTCATTAAAATATGATAATGAAAAATAGCTCAATTAAATGTTGTTATAGCTGTGACCTTCATTCAATTAAGACGCGAGAAAGTGTCTGCATTTTGCTTTGCATTTAACTGCCCTAAATTTAGAATATAGATAAAATCATTATTCAATGGTTGCTGATATGTGCAATTAAAAGCCAACTAGATTTTTTTTTTTTAAAAGGAAAGAAACCCAGTTAAAAGAGAATGAAGATTCTGAGGTGGGGTGGGCTGGCAGAAGGCTCAACCTAGGGACCCAGGCTCTCTCTGGGGCCAGTCTGCCTGCAGCAGGAGGAGAGGATGCCCAGGGGAATAGGATGAAGGTCTTGCCAGCCTTTTTTTTTTTTAAGCCAGGAATTATCTCCCAGGAGAAAGGGGGAAGAGATTTAGCTGGATGGAGTAAAGAGCTGCAGGATTTCACTGACCTCCAGGAACACCTTGGACCCAGGCTGCCCGGTTGCCATGAGGCTATCCGGTAAATGCAGTCTTGGTTTCCAAGGCTTAAAGAATTCCACCTCAGCCTGTAAGAAGGCAATTAGAGCAAGTGAATCACAAACTGCTTCCTAACCTGAGGATGATGCAAATAATACTGCTAATATTCACTGGGTGATTGCTATGTTGCCAGGCTCCGTGCTCAGTCACATTTCTCCATGCTAATTTTCCTAACAATGCTTGGGGGCAGTCACTATTATCACCCCCAGACAGTTTGGATCACCGTCCCCAGCCAAGCCAATGGGCTTCAAATTGTGGATCTGCCATTTACCACCAGAATGACCTCGGGCAAGTTAATTACACTCTCTGTGCTCAGTTTTCTCATCTGTAAAATGGGGCTAGCAGAACTACCTGACTTCAAGGATTGCAGGGGTCTCTAAGCCAGACTCACCGGGGTCCAGAGTTCTAAACCAGGGATGACTCCAGAGTCAGTGTTTCTAGTGCTGCTGGTCATGAACTTGTCATGATGTGTCAGAGATGATTTCAGGGTGAAATCACATGTATGAGGCTGGACACACTCAGGCCAGACCTGCTGGAAGAGAGGATAAGTATTTTTGAGGAAAAAACCCCACGGCGGTGTTTTATAAACTGCTCTGATGATGAGTCCCCCCTTTCCCCATAGGAAATACATTTCACATCAAGTAAATGTACTTGCATACACAGAATTTGCACGAGATGTACTTTTACCCTCACTGTGGCCAGTGCATTTGGATTCTTCCTTAACACTCATTTAAAAATGCCTGTCATACCTTCTACTCTGATTTTCTGAGCCGCTCGTGGGTCTGAAGCTGTAATTCAGAGAGCTCTGCTTTGGTAGACCTTTGGAGAGAGGAGGCTGCGCTCCTGCGCATCTGCTGCAAGGTGAACTGTGAGCCATGGCACAGGGACCGGGCATTTGGGTTTGAGTTCTAGTTCCCTCCTTCTGTCTGATTTTTTGCCTCCATTGGGTGTGGGTTTCCATCGGGGGTTCAGGTTTGGTTCCAGAACCGAAGGGCCAAATGGAGGAAAACAGAGAGAGGGGCCTCTGACCAGGAGCCAGGAGCCAAGGAGCCCATGGCAGAGGTGACGCCCCCGCCCGCAAGAAACATCAACTCCCCACCCCCTGGGGACCAGGCCCGGAGCAAGAAGGAGGCCCTGGAGGCCCAGCAGAGGTGAGGCTGGCTGGACCCCTGGGCCGGGAGGGCTGGCGGGTACACAGGGTTGGGAACTCAGTGTGTGATTCTCTTTCTCTGCCAGCCTCGGGCGAACTGTGGGTCCCACAGGGCCTTTCTTCCCCTCTTGCTTGCCGGGGACCCTCCTGAACACAGCCACGTATGCCCAGGCCCTGTCACATGTCGCCTCCCTGAAAGGTGAGTTTGGGCTCTGCTGCCTGCTGGGCTGGGTGGGGACCCTGCTTGGCCCTGCTGGCCTGCACCACTTCCAAGGGGACTGTGATGATCATCTGCCTGTCCTGCTTTCTCAGTCCGGCCCATCCTTGCACCTGGGGCCGGTGCAGCTCCTTTCCTTCTTCTGTCAGTCACAGCCAGAGTCAGTTTCCAAACATGCTCTCTTGTTCCACTTCTACATGACCTGAGAACCTAGGTGAAGCTCGTATCCCTGCACCTGACTGGGGGCTGACTGAGAGATGGTTGTTTCAGGGTTCACAGACTGCTCCCTCTCATTGGTCCCAGTTTTGGGTGCTAGCTTGAAGCTTTTGGGTGAGGCCTGTGATGGACAATTGTCCCAGCTTATGAAGACCCTCTTCATTCATGTGGTTTGCCCACCTGCCTTTCCCGGGGTCTTCTGATATCAAGGGGTCTGAATTGTTAGGGTTTGTGGTTTTCTAAGATTTGCTCTCTTCTCAAAGGCTGTTATTGTATGAAGGTTGGAAACTATTAGGGGCATTTTTTTTTGCAAGTACATTTTTTTTAATTCTTATTGAAGTGTAATCAATTTACTATGTTAGTTTCAGATGTATAGAAAAGTGATTCAGTTATACATATATACATATACATTTTTTCAGTTTCCTTTCCATTACAGCTCATTACAAGAAATTGAATATAGTTCCCTGTGCTATACGTAGGTCCTTGTACAGTTTATCTTGTTAGGGACATTTTTGTCAGGTCCAGAGAGGGGGACTCTGATGGGGCTGTTCCTTGGGGATCCCTGGGGCACCCCCACTGGATGAATGGGCCCATCCAGTATCTGTCAATTCCTGGTCCCAAACCCACTCTTCTTGCCATGAGACGAGCCAGCTGTGCTGGCCAGGAGCAGGGCGGGGCCCCACAGTGGGTCCAGGGCAGTGAGTGTTCATGTTGGCGGTTGTCTGTCTCTGCAGGTCTGGGAGGTGGGGGTGCATGTGCTGGCTGTAGGCTTTTTCCTGATGATAGGCAGTGGGGGAGCCCCCCTAGGGTGTTTCCTGCTTGCTCTGCATTATAGTCTGGGGTCTTCTGCCCTTGAGGGGTCATTTTCCAGCAGGTTGGTATCACACACACACACACACACACACACACACAGTGATGATCTGCATTGCAAATGTGGTTTCTGGAAGCTGAATGAAGGCAAGATGGAGCCCCCCCTGGGGATTCTCCAAAAAGGAGAGAACATTCTAGGCCCAGAGAGCAGGACGTGCAAAGTGCCAGGAGCAGGGAGGAGAACCAGGTTTGTCTGGAGAATGGCCGGTACATTGGGTGCCCACAGGAGAGTACCCAGAGATAAAGTGGAGGGGCCAGAGCTTGCAGGCCCTGGACGCCGCACCCCTGCATCTGGATTTTCCTCTGTAGGAGGTGGGGCCCTGAGGCCTGGAGCCAGTTCTGAGTGGTCCAGGCAGCTGGGCGAATCCCCGGGCTCAGATGGCTAGAGTGGGAGGATGAGGCTCAGCTCTGTCCAGCTCTGGGCGCTGTGTGCCCCGGCGCTTCCTTCAGCTCCAGGATCTGTGTGCTTCAGGGGCCAAGTAGAGTCCCCCTTACCCCCAACAGAGGGTCCCTGGGACATATTCACAGACACAATAGGCTGGTAGGGCACTGTGGAGGTGGAGTCCCAATTGGAAGGGGCTTCTGGAAGCAGATTACCAATGGGACGTGGGTATCATTCAAGGAACTGGTCTGGGCAGAGGAGCAATCCTATATCTGTCTGTCTGTTGAATCCTCTCTGCTTTGGTGAGGGTCAGCTCAGCTCCTGAGAGTAACCATCTCATTCCTAAATGTTCTCTACTTGCTCCACTCCAGCCTCATGATGAGCTGGAGGTGAATCCCACGTCTCTTTGGTGGGGTAGCCCTTGCAGGGGTGGGGGTGGGGGTCTTTAACAAGCCCAGACCCTGGTGGAGGTCAGAAGGGGCTGAAGAAAGGGAGAGAGGGCTAGGCTGCTGGCAGGGAGGGCGGGACGGTGTCTGCCAGCCAATGAGGCAGTGATGAGAGGCACAAAGCAGAAGGAAGCAGGGCTGAAGGGAGGGGCCCTTAACCTGTCACCCTTCCTCTTTGTTCCTCACTCTTATGTACTCCCCTCAACCCCAGAACCTCCCTTGGGGTCTGCTCTGTTCCTATCTCACTGGAAACACACTTTCCTTTGATGGCAGGGGGTGGGGGGCTAGGGTAGGGATGTGCAGAATTCTGCAGAGGTGACAGAAATCACTGCGTGCTCACCGAACTAGGGCACATCTTTGTGCCTTGTGGTGGCACTTGCTCAGTCAGCCTGCACATCCCCACCGGAAGGCCTTCCTGGCCACAGTCAGGGAGACAAGGTGTGCTGGGGCCAGTGGCACGCTCAGATGTTTCCAGAACCAGGCAGGCGATGAGTGAAGTGAGTGTGTGTAAGCATTGTCTTCACCACCCTCCCCGCCGCCCGCCTGCCCCACCAGATACAAATAAGCTCTTGCTCATAAGAGGCACGCAGACTTCTGTGTTCTCCTCCCGGCATGCACAGCTCCTCCCCAGGCCTGAGCCCCAGCAAAGCTCCCCTCCTGCGGCTCATTGTGACCCCGTTACTCACCTTGGCTCTTGTTACCTGGCCTCACCAAGCAGCTGGCTTTTTAGTCTCTAAGTCATGTTGGAGAGGGAAGGAAATGAATGATTATTGAAAACCTTTGCTCTGCTCTGCCCGTGGTCTCCTGTGGGGTCCCGTTGAATTCTCACGGTAGGGTGGCGTAGCAGACATCGTCTCCAGGATGCTCTCTAGCTGCACATGTCGTCAGTGGAGCTGAGATTGCTCTGAGATAACACTGGCACTGGGCAGGATATCTCTGCACTTGAAAAGTGCCTGACCCTGTGTGGTGGCACCATGCAGCGTGAGATATAGTGAGCTGGAAGTCTCTGAGTCAGCTGGTCATCACAGCCTCGCTCCGCTGGAGATGTGCTTGGGGGACATGCCTCTGCCTCAGGACCGGGGGTGACAAAATGTACTTACAAGTCAGGTGCTGGGTGGTCTGGGGTTCAACCCTCAGTTGTTTGGTGGAACATTTGTTAAGTGGTCCGAGGCCAACATCTTTGAGACTCTTACAGCCTACATTTTCTTTTCCCAGGATTCCTTAAGCTATAGAAGTTAGGTGCATGACCTAGTCTGGACCCAAGAGAGGAACAGACCCAATTTTCTAGTCCAGGCTCAGTGTCAGGACCTGTGGGCCGTGACCCAGCCTCCCTTACATGAGCTCACCCCGAGAGGTGACTGGGCAGCTGGATGCTGGCAGGCCTGGTGGTCTGAGCCCTGCCTCCCAGGGGACTCTGGCCAGCGAGGGGGCTCCCTCAGCTAACTGGGAGGAGCTTCAAGCCTGCGGGTGCTGGAAGGTTTCTGTGCCCATCTCTCTTTATACAAACAAGAAACCGAGGCTCCGGGAGGGGAAACCACTTGCTCACATGTCACTTATCAGCGAGGTCTCCCCTTCAAGATGGAGGCTGCTCTCCACACTATCCTGATGTGCCCTTTCCTCCAGTCACGATTTATTCATTCATTCCTCTGGGTGGGCACTTGTTGGTAGAGGCTTGGATTCCCCACCCCTTCTCCCGGCAAGTGAGGACAGCTGTGAGTCCATTGGCTGTGAGCCCTGGAGGAGGAGTCTGGACTTACCCAAGAGACAAGGACCATTGTGAGCTGAGCAATGCAGCCCCTTCCAGCCCAGAGATCCCAACCCACTTCTCCAGGCCTGAGGGCACTTACAAATGACAAGAAAGAAATCAAAGTGAATTTCAGCCTCCAGCCCCAAATCAGCAGTCGTGGCTCCTTCCCCAGGCTTTGTGGTCCTAGTGGAGTCCCAGAGCCCTGGACTCATGACGCCAAGTGTCTGGGGAGGCCACCAAGGTTCCAGCTGCTCCCAAGACTCTAGACTGGAGACTCCAGACCAGGGCTTGAGAATCCAAGCCAGGGCTGACCTGTGCTGCACCAGCACCTGGCCCGGGAGGAATGCGGGCTCCCAGGGCCCGGGCAGGATCAGTTCTCCCAGGGGGCATGTGGAGCACTCCAAGAGCCAACTAACTGCCTGAGGAGCTTTGTGTACAGTCGAAGGACTCTGATTCGAGGGTCCTGGTCTTTTGGTTCTAGGCGTTGTTATGAATGATGCGATGTCGCTGCTTGGGAACCACTGAGAGAGCCTCCAGGAGTGTTTGTGGGGGTAGCATGGGGGTTGTTGAGGTACAGTTGGCTGAGTTCTTCTAAGCAGTGGTCCTTGAAGTCCTTAGTTACTGTAAGTAGTTGTGCTTGCCTAGAAACACGTCGGTTTTGAATGTGCTCTGATAACAGGAGCATTCATGGAATACTGGTGATCTGCTCCGGGTGCAGGTGGCACTGGGTGGGGTGGGGGGGGGAGGGCAAGAGGGGACAGATGGAGAGGGGGCTGCTGGATGTAGAGGGAATGTGTCAGGTTGGGGCGCCCACGATTCCCAGAACACAGAGCTGTGCTGTGTCTCCAAGCCTCGCCTCCAATGTGAGCGGGTGGACGAGCTGGACCCGAGTAGCTCCATGACTGTGACCCAGAACATGCTGGGGGATCTAGACTCTGCTTTTTTAGCTTTAGGTTATGGGGAGGGGGGGACATGACCCTGAAATGACAGGTCTTTCAGCTGCTTTGCTGAGCTTTGACACACAGACTAAGTCAGTAGCAGAAAACTTCAGATTATAGCTTTCTTAGGCAATTAGAGGCCCTAATTTTCATTCCCTGGGGATACCTGTTGAGGGCAGGGGCCTGGGGTTTTGGAAGCAGCTGGAGGGCTAGGGAAACCAAGATGGGGCTGGAAATGACGTCTGTCTTTGGAAAATCTGCACAGCTCGGAACTGCCACAGCACATGCCGAGGGGCTTGGTGATTCTGCGTCTGGTAGGCGGATGAGGGGGGAGACCTTCTGGAGCCTTGCCATCTGCTACGGTACTGCCATTCTGTGCTGGG